GGGGGGGGGGGGGGGATTAATGCAAAATATATTAATTTTTTTTTAAAAACCGGGTCTCTAAAAAATTTGGTTCTAAAAGATCGCTTAATTTGTTTTTAAAGATCGTTTAGTAGGTTGTTTTGATCGGTTAGTTTGTTCTTAAAGATCGGTGAGTTTGTTCATAAAGATCGCTTAGATTTAGATTGTTCTAAAATATCGCTTTGTTTAATCTTGAAGATCGCTTAATTTGTTCTTAAAGATCGCTTAGTTTGTTGTTAAAGATCGTTTAGTTTGTTCTTAAAGATCGTTTAGTTTGTTCTTAAAGATCACTTAGTTTGTTGTTAAAGATCATTTAGTTTGTTGTTAAAGATCGTTTAGTTTGTTCATAAAGATCGCTTAGATTGTTGATAAAGATCGTTTAGTTTGTTGTTAAAGATCGTTTAGTTTGTTCATAAAGATCGCTTAGATTGTTGTGAAAGATCGCTTAGTTTGTTGTAAAGATTGCTTATTTTTTTCACAAAGATCGATTAGTTTGCTCTTAAAGATAATTGATTTTGTTCCTTAAGATCGATTAGTTTGTTCTTAAAGATCTTTTAGTTTGTTCCTAAAGAACATTTAGTTTCCTGTTAAAGATCGCTTAGTTTATTCTTATAAATCATTTAGTTTACTATTAAAAATCATTTGTTTTGTTCTTAAAGATCATTTAGTTCGGTCTTAAAAATCTTTTAGTTTGTTCTTTGAGATCGTTTAGTTTGTTATTAAAGATCGCTTAGATTGTTCTTAAAGATTGCTTAGTTTGTTTTAAAGATCCTTTAGTTTGTTGTTAAATGTCGCTTAGTTTGTTGTTAAAAATCGCTTTTGCTGAGTATTAAATGACTAAACCTGAGTCACTTTCGACCGGATAAGTCTAAGTCAATTTCGTCCGAAACCGAAGAAAAACCGAAAGTTAACTTCTCTTTCGGCCGAAACCCAAATAAAGCCGAAAGTTAACTTTTCAGTTCTGGCCGAAACCGAAACTTGGCAGAAAGTGATAAAATGGCCACTTTGGGCGCCGAACCGAAGCCGAAATTTGGTCGGTCTCTAAGCTCCACCCATATGTACTACTTGTTTAGCCCATACAGCCTAACCTAAATTTTAGTTCAAATTTTTGCTAACACGTAGCATTAACATAATAATCTGTTAAGTTGTTTACTAGCTGTAAGATGATAGCGTGCTCATTTATACTTACATATTTTTATTATTTTAAATTTTATATTCAGCTTTTAACAGGAAAAAAAAAAAAAAGAGGAAAAATTTATTTATCTCAATATAAAAAACGTCAGCGAGATGAGGGAAAGAGTTGAAAAGAAACTGAAAGAATTTGAAGGGCTTCAGGATCGCTTTGTGAAGGAAACTGAACACAGCACGTCAGCTGTGAGAGCTGAAGGGGGTGGAGCAGGGCCGGTAGGAACAAACTCTACCACAAAACTGACCACAGATGCTATAAGAACTAGTTCATATCATGTTGGACTGTCCAGTGATGAGGATGATGAATTTCTCTCAAGTATGTTGTTTTTTTATTTACATGAAAATTCTTTTAACTCATTTTTTTTAAAACAGTTAGTAGCTGATGAAGATTAAATTATAGTTTCAAATCTTTTCATCTAGTCTATGTTAATTTCCTTTTTTTCTTTGCAGTGAATCTTACAAATAAATGAACTGGGCCATAGAATTTTTAATTTTTTTTTTTTAAATAGCTGATTTTAAGATTTTGTTTTTTTATACCAATGGTGTATTAAAAATTGTAACAATTTGCAAAAATACATTGACATTTTTTTGGTAATATTTCTTTCCTTGAACTACGCAATGATGCATGAAAGCTGAATTTAGTGTACTCTTTTTCTCAATTATAGGTCCAAACAAACCAAAGACTTTATTGAGGGTGAGTCAGATGATTACAAATGAATTGCATTCAGGTATCAAAAATATTATTGTTTTTAAATTTTCAAATTAAAACAGAGGCATTTGAAGGATTTATCTTGTGTGTATTTTATTTGCGTGTAACTAATTTCCCGATTTTTATTACCTCAGTCAGGAGTATCCTGGCAGGATGTTCTAGCAGCGGATGATGGATGGCTTGAACCCAGTTTACCCGGCACTAACAAAAGGTAAAATCATTTACAGAGACCACTTATTTTGCCATCAGCAGCTGTGCCCTAATAGCTTGTTGGCTTTCTGTGTTCTTCTCTTTTAACAAAAAAATGTAACCAAGATGAATTATCATAGTGTTTAACACAATCTTAAGGGAAATAACTTTGATTTTTTATGGAGACCTGTACTATAATTGAAGCTTAGCCCCTTGGATGTCAGTTTGTTGTTCAGCGGGCATCCCCCATGCCTGACAATCCTGCTGGGGAAAGCCTCATGACTCACTGATTCTGCCACCACCCTCTGCCAGTTTTCATTTAACATTTAGTAAATCTTCTAGTGGTTCCAACATTTTCAGGGGTCTAAAAGAGCATCTGGCCCAAGAAAGCTTGACCATTAGCAAGGCTAAATCATTTCTACAGAAACAACGTAGGGCATTGAAACAAAGGCAGTCAGCGTTGGCTGCAGCTAAGCAAGAACTGGTTAAAGATTCTTGGAAAGTACAACAAGGGGTGAGTCACTCTAGGGCAGTTTAGCTCTTATCTACTCTCCATTTTAATTGAGTGTTTTATAAAATTAAAAGCCATTATTTTTGTGTGTAATTGTCTTGAAGATTATAGGGAAAAATAAATTGTTCAAAAACTGAACTGAGCAAACATAACATTGTGAGAAAACATGACATTGTGAGAAAACATGACATTGTGAGCAAACATGACATTGTGAGCAAACATGAAATTGTGAGAAAACATTACATTGTGAGCAAACATAACATTGTGAGCAAACATGACATTGTTTTATTAAACATCTTCAGGATCATGGTGCTGAAGTGTTGGATGAAGTGAGGCAAAGTTTAGAAAGGGAAAGAAATCATATTGATTCCCTTCAAATTCAGGTGAACTCGGGGTCAAGGTTGCTGAAGCAGAAAGAGGCTAAACTGCTGGAGATGGAAGACTTAGCTAAAGAGGTAAATCAACAATGCTTTAGAAAGTGCATTTAGCAAAAAGATGCATTTAGCCATGTTTACATTGACATAAGCTCACCATGACCATATTTGAGATGAGAGTTATGAAATAAACAAAATCCTGCTGATGAATGAATGACTAATATAACAGAAAGCTGGAACTCATTTTCTCCAAGGAGTTTGGTAATTTTTTCATTTATAGAAATGAATTGAAATTCAAAATGAGTTCTCTGTCATCTAATTCAGAAAATGACAGTGTCAAAAACAATAAGCTTTGCACGTAAACAATTTTAATTAAAAAAAAGAAAACCTAGTCAAGCATGAAAATTCTAGACTCATTTTAAAGAGGTAGCACTAAAGAAACTAGTCTGACAACTCATCTTAAAGAGATAACACTAAAGAAACTAGTCTGACAAATTTTTTTTCTTATTCAGCATGAGAATGAAGAGGAATCAGAGTTTTCTCCCTTTGCTGGACCATGGCAAAGAGTCAAGATCCCTAACCTTGACCTTAGTGATGATGACAGCAGTGGTATTAGCAGCTCAAATGCAAGTCTGGATAATTTCTTGTATGGTGAGTTCAGTTTGTAAACATATTTCTCCCTCTGTTTCTGTTCAAAATGTTGACTGAATTAAACATTTTATTTGTTGTTTTTTAAACATAAACCTGATATCTTCTCTTTATCTTATTGTTATTTCCTAAATAATATTGAAAAAGAATTCATATTTTCCACTAATGTTTTACACAGGCTTATTATTAATGTCCCTACAGCTGAAAAATTCTTTTTAATTTGAAACTTAATAATAAATAACTGAACTTGATTTGGCTCAATTGGCTGCGTGATTTCTGCTCCAGGGCACAACAAGTACACTTCAGCCCCATCGTACACCACTCATTCCCCACATTACGTCGGAGGTGGTGGTAAAGATGACCTTGCCAAAGCCCTTCACAAGATCAACTCTGAACTGTCCCGTGTCCTCAACTACATTGACAGAGATGGGGAAACTCCAGCAGCAGGTATGTCCAACACGACCTGTGCAAACACTGAGGTGCATGTATCTAAAAAAACAAGTAATTAAATTTAAAGGCCTTGAGTATCTATTAGTATGGGACAAGCCTTGCTTAAATTGATTGCCATGCCTACACTGCATCTATTAGTATGGGACAAGCCTTGCTTATATTGATTGCCATGCCTATACTGCATTTATTAGTATGGGACAAGCCTTGCTTAAATTGATTGCCATGCCTACACTGCATCTATTAGTATGGGACAAGCCTTGCTTATATTGATTGCCTTGCCTACACTACATCTGTTAGTATGGGACAAGCCAAGCTTAAATTGATTGCCATGCCTACACTGCATCTATTAGTATGGGACACGCATTGCTTATGTTATCATGCCTACACTGCATCTATTAGTATGGGACAAGCCTTGCTTAAATTGATTGCCATGCCTACACTGCATCTATTAGTATGGGAAAAGCCTAGCTTAAATTGATTGCCATGCCTACATTGCATCTATTAGTATGGGACAAGCCTTGCTTATGTTATCATGCCTACACTGCATCTATTAGTATGGGACAAGCCTTGCTTATGTTGTCATGCCTACACTACATCTATTAGTATGGAACAAGCCTTGTTTATATTGTCATGCCTACACTACATCTATTAGTATGGGACAAGCCTTGCTTATGTTATCATGCCTATACTGCATCTATTAGTATGGAACAAGCCTTGTTTATATTGTCATGCCTACACTACATCTATTAGTATGGGACAAGCCTTGCTTATGTTGTCATGCCTACACTACATCTATTAGTATGGGACAAGCCTTGTTTATATTGTCATGCCTACACTACATCTATTAGTATGGGACAAGCCTTGTTTATATTGTCATGCCTACACTACATCTATTAGTATGGGACAAGCCTTGCTTATGTTATCATGCCTATACTGCATCTATTAGTATGGAACAAGCCTTGTTTATATTGTCATGCCTACACTACATCTATTAGTATGGGACAAGCCTTGCTTATGTTATCATGCCTACACTGCATCTATTAGGTTGTGACAAGCCTTGCATACACTACATCTATTAGGCTGGGACAAGCCTTGCATACACTACATCTATTAGGCTGGGACAAGCCTTGCATACACTACATCTTTTAGTATGGGACAAGCCTTGCTTATGTTATCATGCCTACACTACATCTATTAGGTTGTGACAAGCCTTGCATACACTGCATCTATTAGGCTGGGACAAGCCTTGCATACACTACATCTATTAGGCTGGGACAAGCCTTGCATACACTACATCTTTTAGTATGGGACAAGCCTTGCTTATGTTATCATGCCTACACTACATCTATTAGTATGGGACAAGCCTTGCTTATATTATCATGCCTACACTACATCTATTAGGCTGGGACAAGCCTTGCTTATGTTGTCATGCCTACACTACATCTATTAGTATGGGACAAGCCTTGCATATGTTATCATGCCTACACTACATCTATTAGGCTGGGACAAGCCTTGTTTATATTGTCATGCCTACACTACATCTATTAGTATGGGACAAGCCTTGCTTATGTTATCATGCCTACACTACATCTATTAGGCTGGGACAAGCCTTGCATACACTGCATCTTATGTCACAAGCATCAACTTTAGAAAAGGATCCCTGAAATAATCTGAGTTGTAAATGTTGACCTAATATTTGAGCTATGTTTTAGATTAGCTGCAGCTAGACCTAATATATCCAGCTATGTTTGTAAACTGGCTTTTAATAGACCTAATATTTCCACTTATTTTCTTTTTAACAACAATTGGATTTTTGCATTTGGGTACAATGTCTGTAAGTTTAAAAATTTTAAAAGTTTGATTCATACCAGTCGTACCACGTTTTAAATAATATAGTGTGTTTTTGTCTTGTGTACATTAGCCCTGAAGGTGATTTAAGAACCCTATATTAAGTGATCCCAACATCTGTTTCAGATCGCCTGCCTGTGCGTTACACCCCATCACATCATATTTAAATAATATAGTGTGTTTTTGTCTTGTGTACATTAGCCCTGAAGGTGATTTAAGAACCCTATATTAAGTGATCCCAACATCTGTTTCAGATCGCCTGCCTGTGCGTTACACCCCATCACATCATCATTACTCTGGCCTTCCTGAAGCAGTTCTTTGGTCACCACACCCACCTCAAGGGTCAGTTTTTAAAGTGTTCAATTTCTCTTGTTAATTACAATGCAAGATTGAAAGCATCGACTCCTATAAATTCCAACTCATAAACCTGGTCTCATCTCCATCGCAACATCACTCTCCTACCATTGTGACTAATTGACCATCTAAAAACTGTCAGGCATTATGGACGCAGACCCAAAATTATTTCTCTCAACACAACAAAGTAACTGCTAGTTGGCTTTTTCTAAATTTACCAGGCTTGTCAACATTGACCTGGCCAACACTTTGACCTGACCAACACTTTGACCTGGCCAACACTTTGACCTGGCCAACACTTTGACCTGGCCAACACTTTGACCTCTGACCTTACAAATGCACTCACTGCTACTGCATGCCCTTATTTATCTTGATCCCCTTAAAGAGAAATAGAATTCTGCATGGCAACTACTATTTCCCACTTGATCCATAAGTTTTAAAGAATCCAGGCCCAGCAGTTCATTAGAAACATAAAATTCTCCTCAGCCCGCCACCCAAAGATTACTCAACGCTTGTCTACACAGCGGAGCAGTCCTTGGAACGCAAATGGAGAAAGTATTTTGGTGGTGAGTCTGGTCTTGGGGCGTTGAAATTGCTGCATGATGGATATTTTAGGATTTTTCATTCATAAATATTAAATCATCTAACAGCAAAGGTTATTAGTCTTTTAAAAAAACATATTTTTGACCTCTTGTGGAAGGGGAGGGGGGTGCTTGTTTGTAATACATAAAATAAGTATTTTGAATTTTTCTTGTTTCAAGATCGAAGAGCTCCATTCACAGCTGGCCCATCATATGTCACACCATCGCACGGCTACGGACATGCTTCTATGTCTGTCAGGTGAGATGTTTTAATGATGGATTTAACCTTCAATCCATATGATGAACGTCCATATAATTATAGCAAGAAGAAAAATACTCATTAACTAGGGCTTAACCGGGATCAGTTTTTTATCCAGGTCCCGGATATTTTGAAAAAATACCTGGTGGGTCCAGATGTTACCAAAAACGAGTTAACTTCTCAATTTATATAATATATGCAGGCCTTTAAACAAGAGAGTCCTACAGACAGTCCTACGCCATACCCATGGCTCTTTATTGATTAATATAATAGTCATCTCCGAAAAAATTCAAACTTCTCACCTGGGTTCAACTATCACACATGATGCTCACTGCTGGACAGCTTTTTTTTGTCTTTTACTCAGTACTATTAATATAAAACATGTTGAGTAGGGGGAGAGCAGGCTGCTATAAGGAAGCAGTCACACCAGATGCAAAACATATCTAAGAGATACTCTCCCCTTTCCTTTGCACTCATTCAAACATGCTTCCTTCCTAAATGGATAAACTACTATTTTAAAATAAAAATAGCTTATTTCAAGTCTCATTTTCATCAAATTGGTTTTGTTTTACACCTTTCAATGGCAATTTGATAAAAATGGATTCAGATGATGAATTTGATAGCAATTTAGCTGTAGTTGGACATAATTCATGGTAATAATGATTCCTGTATTTAAGTAAAAGAATCAAAAATCAATATCGTCATATTTTGATATAGTTATTGAGTGTACAGTGAAGTAACTTTATATTTCACTGTAGCAGCGTAAAGTGACATGTGGATAGAAGGTTTGGTTTTTTATGTGCTATGTGCATATGGAGGTGACTGATGATTATAGAGGTGACTGATGATTATGGAGGTGACTGTGAGGATTATGGAGGTTACTGCTGATTTTAATTAGGAATGTGTGAGATTTTGATTGATTAGGGCAATGATGATTATGGAGGTGACTGATGATTTTGATTGTGACTGTGATAATTATGGAAGTGAATGTGATCATGATGGAGGTGACTGATGATGATGGAAGTGACTTTGATTATTTTGGTTGTGACTGTGATGATTATGGAGGTGACTGTGATGATTATGGAGGTGACTGTGATGATTATGGAGGTGACTGTGATGATTATGGAGGTGACTGATGATTATGGAGGTGACTGTGATGATTATCAAGGTGACTGTGATGATTATCAAGGTGACTGTGATGATTATGGAGGTGACTGTGATGATTATCAAGGTGACTGTGATGATTATGGAGGTGACTGTGATGATTATCAAGGTGACTGTGATGATTATCAAGGTGACTGACGAGTATGGAGGTGACTGTGATGATAATGGAGGTGACAGTGATGATTATGATGTGATGATTATGGAGGTGACTGTGATGATTATGAAGGTGACTGTGATGATTATGGAGGTGACTGTGATGATTATCAAGGTGACTGTGATGATTATCAAGGTGACTGATGATTATGGAGGTGACTGTGATGATTATGGAGGTGACTGTGATGATTATGGAGGTGAATGATGATTATGGAGGTGACTGTGATGATTATCAAGGTGACTGTGATGATTATCAAGGCGACTTTCATGCCCTATTCTCAACTTGTATATTATAGCATTGGGGCAGCCAAAGCTATTTTTAGATAATACACTGACCAAAGGTCACTTTGGGCTATAAGCTTCGTATTAACAAGATATTGAATTGAAGGTCAGAGCTAAACAAATCTATTGTCAAACTTCATCAGCCTGTTGAACTTGTGAAATTTTAAAATAATATTTTTTTTAATAACCAAATAAAACCTGGACAAAAATCATGTACACAGCAGTAAAAGCTAAAACCAGGTATACAATTTGAGGAGATTGTATCACTTGGCAAGTATGTATCAAAGTAAACAATTATTGAAGCACATACTTCTAATATTAATGGATATTATTTATTACTTTACATTTCTTTTTTAGAAATAAGTATTTTGTCCTGTGCAAATATCCTATTTATGACTTGAAGGAAGCCTTGCAAAAAAGGTGAAATTGTTGATGCAGCATCACTGTGACATGATTGCATGTAAAAAAAAAAAGACAACTTGGTTCCAAAACGTCTGGTATCCTGGCCCTCTCTCACTGAGCCCCTCTCAATGGCCTCTCTTAATGGCCTCTCTCAATGGCCCCTCTCAATGACCCCTCTCAATGGCCTCTCTCAATGGGCCCTCTCAATGCCTCTCTTAATGGGCCTCTCTCAATGGCCTCTCTCAATGGCCTCTCTCAATGAGCCCCTCTCAGTGGCCTCTCTCAATGACCCCTCTCAATGGCACTGTCTGTAGGGAATTTAGGGACTGAAAGCTGTGACTGGTTTCTTTGAATGTTATTTTTTTTAAAATAGAAAAGACTTGAAGTGGATGTTTTGTATATTATCAAATACAAAACTTGATTTATGAATTATAATGGAGTGACTGACTTAACGAAGTTCAAAAATTGATCCATCCAACTTCTTTCAAATTAAAACTGATAAATCATTGCAGGGACAGACATTTTCATCTGAGTCTGACAGAAGCTAGACCAGTGTCATCCGTACAGTCTCAACTGGCCGAGCAGAAAGAGTGGCTGAAACAGCACCACAGTAAAGTGGAGAGTAAAGTCCCTTCCTATCATAACCCACATGCCTGGGAGTCTAGCTCTCTGTATCCTTTCTATTTGTACAATCAGCATCAATGGCTTCTGTGATTTAAAAGATCAAACACTTGCTTTCACTATAGCAAAAACATTTGAATGATTATAGTAAGGTTTTGTTTTGCTGAAAATTTACATGCAGTTTTTTTAACAGTCGTGTTTGATTTATCTCCCGAAATAAGCACAGGAGAGAAGACCATAAAATTTACATGCAGTTTTTTTAACAGTCGTGTTTGATTTATCTCCCGAAATAAGCACAGGAGAGAAGACCATAAAATTTACATGCAGTTTTTTTAACAGTTGTGTTTGATTTATCTCCCGAAATAAGCACAGGAGAGAAGACCATAAAATTTACATGCAGTTTTTTTAACAGTCGTGTTTGATTAATCTCTCGAAATAAGCACAGGAGAGAAGACCATAAAATTTACATGCAGTTTTTTTAACAGTAGTGTTTGATTTATCTCTTGAAATAAACACAGGAGAGAAGACCATAAAATTTACTGTGAAATAAAATCAATCTATTATTTACAAACTTAACAAATGAATAATTTTTTGTGTCACAATATTCGACACAATTTCATTGAGGGTAGGAGATAAATGAAAGTTTAATAAAAAACATTGCTCATATTGGACATTTAAATTCCATAACTGTCAACTACAGACACAGCACAGGTGCTGTATCCGATGCACGTAGGGAGGTTCCCGTTTTATCCACACCACCACGATATCCTTCAAAGATCCGGCTTGAGCTGGATGACCAGGATGAAATACGAGTTCGACAGTATTAGACTAACACGACTTCTGGAAGCAATGTTTCAAGAAATAGAAACCAGGGCCAGAAAACTGTAAAAAGAAATGAAGTCTGGTTCAGCTTTAACAGGACAAACAACGAATATATTGACAATGATGAGCGCTGGGAACAGGTAGCAAAGGAAAAAGAAATCCCATTTGTCGAGAAATCAAGAAAATCACCTCTAAAGAGGAATGTAACTTGAGTTTAGGACACAGGAGAAATTGTTGTAGACTTGACAGTCAAAACAACTTGAAATCATGGATTGTTTTGATGTCCCTGCTTGTTTTTGAACTGAGTGAAGAGGAATCCATTGATATTATTCTATGTCTCATGAAAACAATTTTTTTACCAGATTTATTTAAAAATGAAGCCATTTTTTAAGAGTTGTGTCCTTGTTCTCCCAAAAATGGAAAATAGCTTAAAATTATAATGTTAGCATTTGTTTTGTATTTTCTATGTATATATGTACAAGGTATACAAGGTAGCTAAATCAAAAGCATGTACTTAGAAGCACTGAGATGAACTATGGTATTTACTAATTATAATATTTACAACTCATGCAAATAATGCAATAAACTTAAATTTTAGATAGTAATTACAAATTAAATTTACTAAATATTTGCATGCAATGATTGTATTTCATACAAAAATATAATATATCCATTGTATTTATCCTGGTACTCTTTACAAATGTAAAAAATTTTTGTAACAATTAAAATCTATTTCTTTTTTAAAAGTCTTAAGGGTTGAAATCTTGACCTTTGACCTTACACCAAGGGGGAATGCTGTATATGATTAAAAGATTGCAGTTTTTTTTAACTATATGGTTTTATAAATGTGTGGAGCTATAATACACTGCCACAAATTTGGAATGAATTTCATTTAACGATTCGAAATCGGTCCATTTTATGGAAACAAATTATCTGGTTGTGAATATTTAGCTAAGTATTTTATTTGATGGTTTGACTCAAATCAAATTTTGTAATCAAAACAATTTTTAAAACTGATCAAGATTTTCTCTAAACTATTAGACAGCTTTTCTGCCATTTCGTGAACTTATTAAATATATAATATACACATATATCTTTGTTTAAATAAAATGAAAAATATTAGTTATAGCCCGCCAAACATTGGTGGTAGCAATGCGTGAACTTCCCATCTCCTAAAGTTACTTGACAAAAAGTTACGCACATTTAAGAATGGCAATGTTGCTAACACCCCTTCCCCCCCCCCCCCCCCCCCCCCTCTTCATGATAGTCACTGCACACTTTTTATTTCATGCCGACCCGTGGCTTAGTGCTGGCTGGCAGGAGGGTGGTGCAGTGGGGGGGAGGGGGGAGGTAGCTCAACCGCAGTTCGCATGTCTCGAGACCAACGATGGGCATGCAAGGAAAGGGAAGGGAGGGTTTGCCTGCATCTTGCTTGCTCTGGCGTATCTATATATAGCCTGTTGTCTTGTTGTTTGCCCTACTTCTTCTGGCGAATTATATATATAGATATTAATTTTTAATGATGCAAGATAATCAAAAATATATAATTATTTTTTAAAATGTTACCTTAAAATTTCTTTTCACTTTGCTATTAAACTTAAGGATAAGAAATTAGGGCCTTGGAGTACTTCACCAACTTGAAAATGATTTGCTAAATAAGATCCTAGATATGTGATTGTGTGCAATCTTTATAAACAAATAATTATAAACCTTTACTTATGTTGATCAAATATCTTTCAAGGTGATTACATCTATATATTGTATTTTTTTAATTATTGGATATCACAATGTAACAATGCCAAGTTCCTTTACTTTGTGTGACTTTACATACAGAAATTACATGAAGGTGGATTTCCCATGTTTATACCATGTTGGTCCACTATATCCAGGTGTATGCCCATGCATACACCATGTTGGTCCACTTTTATTTTATATTAAACCTTTTCTCTAACAGGAAAGCATTGCTGTGATCACAAATCTCTAGTGTACATCAAAATTGGTTTGAGCTAACAAGTCTCTAATAGTCTGTCTGCCTGTTGTACGTTGCTTTATCTGCGTCCCTGGGAGTAATTGCATTGTTGGATATCTGTCATGCATAGATAAATATGATGATAAAACAAAAAGCCAAAAATATGTGTCTTAATATTCACACCATATTTTCTGTATTTTGTTTTAAAAAAATGTAACATTTTAATTTGTTATTATAAAGACAAGAAGTATTTTATTCAAAACGTAACAATTTTTTTTAGGAGTTCCTAGGATTTAACAAAAAATATATTTTTTTGTGTGTTCTTTAAATCAATATTTCAAATTTTAAAGTATTTTTTTTTTACAGATCTTTGTTTAATGCACATACAAACAAGAAAATGTTGAAATATCCCAATTTTGTTATGTCTTCATATTAATAACTATGAGATGGCGCAAGCTAGTATTGATCCATGGACATTTTATTTTGATATAGGAGCATGTCTCTCCTTCCCTGACACGTGTCTCTCTTTATATGGCACGTGTCTCTCCTTCCCTGACACATTGACACATTGTTTTCCTAAAATTTAGAGGGGTTTATTTGGTCTTTTTTTTTCACAATCTTTATGAGTTTATAAATACATATCTGATTTAGGATCTTAGTTGATAATTGATTCTTATAATTTGTGAAAACAATTTGGAAATGAAGTTAGACCCCCTGCTAGTGAGACTGCAAGGTGTTTCCGACAGAAGTGGATTTATTCTGTTTTCATGGAAAATGGAATTTAAATCAGGGGTATGATTGGCTCTTTGGTTTATTTATGAATTTTTTGTTTACAACTCCATTTCTGCAGCTCATAAATATGTTAGGTACAATAGTGGCACGGTTTAATCGTGCCAATGAAATCTTAGGATTTTTATTGCGCTGAACTCAAAATTTACGTAAAAAATTTGTGTTGATGTAGATAAACTGTTTTTTTCAAAGCTCTTTTAAGTGTTGTGCATGTGCAGACAATTTTATTTCAATTATTATGTGAATTATCAATTATGAATTTAAAATCAATTAATTCATGATTATTTGTTACAAATTTCCATTTGACTTCATTTTTTTAAAATCTTTCCAAACTTGGGTTTAACACAGTCCTTGAATCCGTCCCAACTACATACAGATAAATGAGTTTACTTAAGTCCCCTATCATTAGATTTTATTTTGAATTTGTGCCTAACAAATTGATTGAAGAAAAAAAAATCCATCCATTTTACTGGAGCATTTATCTCTGTAATGATTATATAATGTGCACTTAAGGTACAAAGATTAAATTTTTTTTATCAATTGATTATTGGTTGATGAAAACTTTGCCTGTTATTCAGTTTTCAATAGTGAATATTTTTTATTTAAAGTCCTAAAATTTTGTTAGTTATTGATGAGAAGAAATCTTTTCCAGATTTTTAAGTAACCGGTCATTAGAATATAATGTAAAATACGTCCTACAATTGTGACATGGGATATCTCTATGGGATATATCCCATATTGGAGGCAGCTGCCCTGTTGCTATGTTCCTCATTCAACACCGTGCTCCTGTATGTGGTGATCCATAAAGCATGCACTGGAGAAAATTGTCCTATGATGTTCTTTTTAAGAGAAATATATGGTGTCATTATCATGAGATCGGCCTACATCTTTAATAGGAGTATCATGTGCTGCAGCACATAGCGACCATGCTAAACTTTTACCTTCATGCAAGCTTTAACAGAACCACGTCAAAATGTATACATTTCAATCCTTCCATTTGTTACAAAGCCGTGTAATGCACTTGTATATTTTGAAAAATAAATATAACATTTCTATCATACACATGACCATCTTTCAGTTATCTTTCGACTTAGAATTTCCTTAACACTAAACAACACAAATGTCAAATAAGTGATGTGATAAATAACGTGGCTGTGCTGCGATTCAGAAATGTGAAGGAAATATACAAAAGATTAAACACTAAGAAGCTTACAAAACTATACAACTTTCATTGAATGAGAAAACGTATTTTATGTGTATTTAGCATTTTTGAACTTGTTAATAGTTTACAGGTGTGTGTGGAAGGGGAGGATATGATCTATATAAAAGATCC